TATCAATAAGCTAAAAATGTGAAATTTGAGGTAAAACGTTGATGTTTTGAGAAACGCAGATAAGTAGTACATAATAATCGATAAATTATCGATATACTCAAAATTTCTACCGAAATTTAAATACAATTTAAGTTGAATATAAGAAAAATGGGTAAAAATATATACATATAAATTTAAATGTTATTTAGAGTTGAGTCGATAAAGTCTTTCAGTTATAAGTATACAATTTATCGAATATCGATCAATTCAATAATAGCATGCTATTGTGTTACACAGTTAGAGCCCTACACAGTTCATTTGCATACTGTATGCCAGGAATTTCTTTTCATTTATCGAAAAAGTCATAATGTCTATCGATTTCGCATGGAATCTGTGTAATTGATGAGAGAATCTAATTGGGGCATAGTCGCACCATCTCACTGTCTCACCATCTCACCGTCGACCAGTCGTCAATTCCGCTTCCGCTATCGTTAACCGTGTCATGTCCTTGCTGCTGGACGAACTGGCTGGCTGTTTGAGGCAGATGTAGCGCTACCCACTTGGATTACACTTGGCCAAAAATTTTCGTATGTTTCTCTTTCATTTTTGCTGAATGGCATTCGTTTTTGTTGTGCTCGCTGTTATTTTTATTGTTGTTGCTCCTGCTGCTATTCTTGTGCCCAAACGACGCCCAAACAATGACAGGCGACATTGTGGCACACGGGGGTGCAACATTGTGCACGGGTAGCGGCGGCGGCGGGACGGGATGCCACACGGACATGCAAGGCCATCCGCAATTCCAGCAGCACACCCCCGCTTGACTCTCAGCCCGCCGGTGGCCATTGTGTTGCAGCTTTTGCGCTTTTGTATACGTAACTGCCTGCTGCATAGCTGCCTGCTGCCTGCTGCATAGCTGCACTGCCGCCTCACCTGGACAGGCGACAGCTTACAGGCCACAGGCGATGGCGAGATGGTGAGATGGCGAGATGGGCGCTGGAAGCGATGGCCACTGGTGGGGCGACAGTTGACAGTTACCGTATTGCATAATCAGCAGCAGCAGCCATAAGCCGAGCTCGGGATTAGCCAGAGCCAGAGCAGCACAGCTCGATCGGGACCATCAGCATCGAAATGAATGCTTGCCGTCGTGGCCGTGCCAGTTGCAATTGGCAAAACTTTCTGACAGATTCCAAACTATTCATATTTGCAGCAAACATCGATGCAAAGTTATGCACTTAATCAACTTGATGATGCCAACAGTAGCGATAAAGTGCTTTTTGAGGGGACGGCCGGGGGCAAAGGACGATGCGAAAATTTCTTATGTGAAAAGTTTTGCAGTCATTTTATTTTTGCTGTTGTTGTTGCTGCTGCTGCTGCTGTTGCTACAACAATTTTCTTCTCTGTTGCCGTCTTTGAGTCAGTCATGTAAAATATTTGTTGCACGTCAGCGATGCTACCAGAAGGCGGCATGTGCTTGCGTATATGTATGTATGTGTATGTGTGTGTGTGTGTGTTTCATACAGCACGTAGACACATGAGCAGGCAGCTCAAGGAACTTGCTGTATGATCCAATTCATTAAATAAAAATTATATTTATGATTTAAATTACATTTTCGCCAGCTTCACAGCCCAATGACAGCCAGCATACTCAACTTGTATGTGTGTGTATATGTGTGTGCGTCTGTAAGTGTCTGTGTGTGTGTGTGCCTTTACGCGTGCACTGCAACATTCCAGATTTTTTCGTTGCACTGCAATTTGGGCTAAGTGAAATTTTCGTAAGCTGAAACTTGTTTTGAATAACCAAGTTCTCTCTTGATACTTTTATCTTAATTGAAAACAAACAGCTCCGCCTGACTACAAAACACCCTGCATGTGTATGAATGTACATAGCTAGACAATTTTGAATTAGTTTCTTTGGTTTTTAGATTGAATAATCGAATGTTATTATCAAAAGAAAATACAAGCAGGGAAACAAGAGGGAAGTAAAAGTGATGAGGGGACGAAAGCTGGTGAGAAAAATGGAACAGTGATAAGATCACCTAGAGATAAGAAGCTAGCCAACGTGAACGAAACGAAACGGACAGGCGAAATAAGAGGAGGACATGAAGTCGTATGTTGATAAAGGGAGGAGACGAGAGGGCAGGATACGAAAAGAGACGGTATGACGATGGAAGAATAATCAAATTGGATGCCAAAGATTACAATAAGTAATACTATTGAACATTAAAAATTGTATATACAGTAGAATTTAGTTATAACGACCCGGAATAACCGTATAAGTTTGCTCATATACATTTGTCTGGGGACCAGAATTTTCTTCGCAATAAACGTACAAGTGGAGCTGTTATAGCTGGATTCTACTGCATTCATTCATATACATAGGCATTATTATACATTAAAAATTTGAAATGAAATTTTATTTTAAGCTCTAACAACCACTTTAACCTTTTAAAAAATCCTATAATATTTATAATCATTCGCAATTATGTAATTATTGCTGTAAGAATTTGAAAAGTTCCGAACGTGCCATGAGCCGTGGCAGTGCCAGTTTATTTAATAATATGAGAGCGGAAAAAGTTGGCGTTCATAAGCTCGTCATATGACGCCCTGCCGTCAATAGCTTTGACCGACTGCCAATTAACTTTAATCAAATCTAAAGAGCTTAACGGTACACGACATGCTCTCCAAGTACAGACATACATATCTACATGTATGTATATAGGTAAAAAATTAAATGAGAAAACAACAAACTGAAGCAACGAGCGCCTGTTTTCAGGTTGAAAGCATTTCCCGGCAGTGTTTTGGGACAGCATTTACATCAAGATCCGAGCTGAAAGTTTTGAGCAGGAGGTGAAGGTGGAGGTGGAGGTGGAGGAGGAGGCGGAGGCGGAGTGGAACTGGGGTGAGACGTGGAGTGGGTGCTGTTGCTGCTGCCTTCAGGTTTACGAGCAGCAACAGCATCCCCAAAAAAACAGAGCAAACAAATTTAATAAGCGTAGCAGCTACAAACGACAACAAACAGCAACAGCAACAACAATAACAACAACGACAATAAGAGTTGGCAAAGTTTCAAGTGCGACCACGCCCAGTGTGCCAAGTGCACAGTGCAAGCCCCAGTTCCAGCTCCATACCCAGCCCCCCCTGCAATGCCCCAAGTACCCAATCGACCGCCACGTGCGTCATTTCATAATCAAAAACATTCGTAAATTTTGGCGGAAATTGTTTTCACTTTGTTTTTGTTTTTATTTATTTCTGTTGTTGCTTCGCTTCGCTTTGCTTTGTTTTATTTTTTATTTTATATTAAGACGCAGCAAAAGCCAAAGGAGACGAAATCAGCTTAAAAAGGTTGCCAGCCAAGCGAAAGGATGTCGAGTGCCAGCCTCGGTGCTCCTAAAACGCTGTGAGCAGCAATAGAGTCTTCATGTTGTTATCTCTTGCAAATTGCAAAATGAATCACGCAAAGTGGCCCCAAAGCCGCTTACTGCACAACAGATTGACATCCTCTCTTACATTCCCTTTTTTTTTTTTACTTTTACTTTTTCATTTTCCTCTCCTTTTTTTTTTTGTAGGGCTAACCACGTTTCCGTTTCCGCTTCCCCTTGCGCTCGCCGTTTTCATTTAGCTGACGACTGAGAACGACCCGCCATTATGCTGCATGACCTGCAGCTATGCCTATTTGTCACTTGGCACCCGGACACCCGGGCACCCGGGCACCAGGCACCCAGGCATACTGGCACCCTGGCACCTAGACACCCACGCTTCGTTTGCCCTCCTGGCCTGCTCACTTGATTAATGTTGCGTCCATTTCAGTTTGGCTTAATTGTTGTGACCAAAACAATTTCCCGAACCCTACACACCTCGGCACACATAGCTCTCTGCACAGATTACCAACTGGCATACGCTATAAACCCGCTCTCTGCAATCTCCGCTCCCCACTCGACACTCCTACATTTCCGCTCGCTGTTTCTATTTCCTAATTGTTTCCGTTTCCATTGCAAATTGTAGCCATTTATTATTATGCATTTGCACCAAAAAAACACGCCCACTCGCCCCCATCCTCTTTGGTTTCTTGCAAAATTTGGCATATTTATATACAATGCACATGTTCACATACACATATAGGTATCACCACACACACCAAGCTAGAGAATATATTTTTCTATAGAGCAAACCTTGACAAATGTCTGTGGCCTCCTTTTGAGAGCCTTGGCAAAGTTCAAGCACAAGTTGAATTGCACTAAAAGTAAATAGAAAGAAAAGTGCCCAGAGAGCAGCGCCCAAATGATGAAATGCTTCATATTATTTTTATTTTTATTTTATATCATTTCAGTCAAATGTACTGCGGGCTATTTAGCCTGCTTTGATAGCCAATCAAGTCAATGTTGTCTGCTCACGAAAGGAACTTTCAAAAGTTTCATTTTCCTTTTCTTTTTTTTTTACTTTTTGTCTAACAATTAACGCAAGGCCCAACAATTCAGCTTACCGTTATTCCCTGAGTTAATTGTTTATTTTATTTTGGGTTTATTTTTTAATTAGAGATTTTCCTTTGTGGCCGCTATTTCGACCATTGTGGGCTATTAACTACCTTTCAGGACAATATTCTAAGAAGGAAGGAAGGGAAGCAAACGGAAACGCAAAGGACAATAAAAAATAAAAAAGATTTGTTTGGTTTTGACAGCAGTTGGGCAAAACGAACGAACGATTTGAACTTATTAAGGATGTATAAAGCACTGCAAATAATTACATTTTGTAGATGAAGCCCAAAGAATTACAAGCTCTTTGATATCTAAACTTTTCAAATTTGGATCTTAAGGCTTAAGCTTACCCCTTAAATTTCCTGTTTACTTTTAGTATCAGCACATAAATTTCGTTGATTCAATTTGAATTTCTAAATATGCCCGTTAAGGCGCGCCCATTATAACCTCAAACAAGAATTTCACTGCATTCGACTTGATCAACAGTCTCGACCATAACCTCAATTTCTGTTTACACAATTTCGGATAGAAGCTTAAAAGTAAGCTTACCTTTTGTATTGACTGATGCACGCTGCAGCTGATATACTGGTAACTGTCAATCAAACTTTACGATACCAACAGCTGTACGAGTGGCGCTCTAAAAGGAATTACAAACATTAAATATAAGAGATATGCAAGTTCGCTGAATTACAAGTATAGGGCCGCACTCTACTTGTGTTTGACACGATTCTTTCGACAAATCACATACCCAAGCACTCGAAAAAAATATATGTATATTTGGCAAGGTGTTTTAATAATCTAAATGTGTGCACGCACTTCGAAAACTCAGAAACTCGTTGAACTTCTGAAAACACACAAAATCAAACTTTGCACGGAATCTCGCTGCAGGCGAACGCGACAAAGACGACGAATGAACTAACTGTAAATACGGCATATGGAGCCACAGCCTGCGGCAGTGTAACCACCCGGTGCAAAGCAAAAGAATACCAAAAGTAACGGTATTTTACAAATATACATGGGGCGTTCCAAAAAGAACAAAGCTTGCATCCTTTATACGTGAGGAAAGCACAAACGAAAATATTTTTTACAGTTTTCGAATCAAAATAAATATAGCTCATGTGATAGATGTATGTAGCGCATTAACATGGCAAAGCAACATCAGCAATTGCAGGTCTATAATTAACATATTTAAAAATAAAATAGTTAGTACAAATTTATATTTTCTAATAAGCGTTTCATTTATGTAAATAAATGGCATTAATAAATTTTATATTATTTTATCACTATAGTTTTCTATACATTTTCAAATTTAAGAACAATTCGGGAATGTCACAAAAAATACTAGCCTGCATTGTCGTTGGCATATTGACTCCGAAAAATACTGCTTTGGCCGACGTGGTCACACTCGAAACAGAAACAGTCGAATGTAAGAATACGTTTGGAGCGAACAAAATAAACAGGTGGAATGCTGGATGTTTCATAATGATACGCAATGTTGTGGTGGGCATATCCGGAGGCGTGGATAGTGCAGTCAGCGCCCATCTGCTCAAGGAGCGAGGGTTTAATGTGCTCGGCGTATTTATGCGCAACTGGGATGAGCACGACGAGGCCGGTCGTTGCAGTGGCGAGCAGGACTTAAAGGATGCGGAATGGGCTTGCCGGAGATTAAATATTGAATTACGCCAAGTCAATTATGTGAAGCAATACTGGACATCGGTATTTAGCCAGTTCTTGGACGACTATCAACAGGGCCTGACACCTAATCCGGACATATTGTGCAACAAGCATATCAAATTCGACCTGTTCCATCAGCACGCTCTTCAGACGCTGCAATACGATGCCATAGCCACTGGCCATTATGCTCGCAATAGTCTGGGTGACTTTCTGGAGCATGCCGGCAGCCAGATGACGGAAGATGTTCGCCTGCTCATACCCGCCGACACGTTCAAGGATCAGACCTTCTTTCTAGCCGGCATAGCACAGGCGGCACTCCGACGCACAATGTTCCCGCTGGGCGGACTGAAGAAGACTGCCGTAAAGGAATTAGCGCGTCGCATCGGCCTGCAGCGGCTAGCCGAAAAGCGTGAGAGCACTGGCATCTGCTTTGTGGGCAAGCGCGACTTCAAGGCATTTATACGGGAGGTAAATATATACTCAAGTGATTCCCAATCAACCACTCACAATTTCTATTCTCTGCAAATAGTACATTACCTCCAAGCCAGGCAACTTTGTGGACATCGATAGTGGCCGCATTGTGGGCACCCACGAAGGCGTTCACCAGTGGACCGTGGGTCAGCGCTGTCGCCTCAGTTCCTATCTGCAGCCGTACTTTGTGGCCCGCAAAGATGCAGCCAGCAATATCATCTATGTAGCCGCCGGCCATGAGCATCCCGCGCTACACAGCACCCGCATTCACATTGACGCAGTCAATTGGCTGTGCAGCCGGGCACGGCAGCAGCTGGCCACAGAAGGCAGTCTGCGTTGCCGCTTCCGGTTCCAGCACACCAAGCCTCTCGTCGACTGCCAGCTGCGGCCATTCGAGGTGCAGCTGGATGCACCACTTCGCGCCATCACACCAGGTCAATACGCTGTCTTCTATGACGATGTGGCTTGCCTGGGAGCTGCCCGCATTCTGCATGGCGAACCGTTGCAGTGCCTGGAGCAGCAAGTGGCCATGGAGCGATAGTAGTTAGTTAAATAACTGATGTATATATGTTTTATATAAATATATTTGTGTTCTATATGAATGTTATAACTTTTGATAGGGTAACTGCCAGGCGAAAGAGATGAAAATCTCCTCTGAGATACAAGCAATACATATACACATATATAAATATAAGAAAACATCCATTTTGTATAGTAAACACATGTGCTATTATTATTATATATTTGTTGTCTGTTTTACACAATTTCAAATCGGATGCCACAAACGCATAACTTAAGTCTACTTCCATATATTCAATTTGTAGGTCGGCTTAACATAGTTTACATAGTCTTATTGACAATCGCTTTGATTACATTTTTATAATTATTTTCTATGAGTAGTCTTAAATGCAATGTCGAACAAAATTGCTAGGCTAGTAAAAAAAAAAACAATTGTTTATAAATTAGATTATCTTAAGTTAGATCTGGTCTGGGGTTGCGCAAGGTTCGTTGGATGAATATACTGTCTTAGGGGCTAAACTAGACTATATTTGTGGGGTGGGCATTTGAGCCTAGGTTAGAAGCACGGTCAACGCATCTAGAAATCGGGTCAAGTCACTCTGGCGCAGTTGCACAATGGACGGCTCAAAGAAATCCTGGAGTAGGTTAGTCTTGCTCTTCTGTGCCGCCTGATCGAAAGCCTTGCCAAAGAAGTTCTTTGGCGAATCCTCGCGCACCGGCGCAATGCCCACCAGCAGGCACATGCCCTGCGACGCATCCAGTGGGCAGGTGGCTATCAGTGGCAGATCCGGAGCCTGACGCACCCTCGTCGTGGCCACATGGCCATGCAGCACGAATTTGGCCAGCAGAGCCAGTGCATAGGGATACGAGAAGAACGCATGCTCCTCCTGCAGCACATAGTAAAAGAAGGAGCCAGTGGAGTGTACCTGATGCGCCTCCAGGCAGCTCTGCACCTGCCGGAAGATGGCCGCATGCAGCAGCTTGGCATTGTCAATACCCACGTTGAGCAGCTGCTTGTGCTGGCGCGACAGTGCGTCTGATGCCTCCATAAAGCAATCCTCTGGCGTCTTATGCTTCTTCACCGATTGCAGAATGGCCAACAGCGCGTAGACATAGTCGGCCGCTGCATACCGACTGCGATAGCCATAGCTGAGCGTAAAGGTGCCATAGACGATGTCGGGTATGCCATATTTTTCGGCCAGCTGCTCCACCATAGAGTAGAACTCCTTGCGCAAGATCAGGTCCATGGCGCTGTACGTTTGTCGCGCATGCACCAACGGCAGGCCCATCTCGACCAGCAGCTCATGGAGACGCTTCTCACCCCTCAGGGTCCACAGCTTGAGCTTACAAGCGGAATAGCGCGAGTAGCTGGCAATCAAAGGAATACTTAAGTCCAATCGAGGATTTCATGACTCTCTACTAGCTACACTTACCGCATGGACTCGGTTACCGTCCAGTGCCTGTAGAGCACCAGGTGCAAGTCGTTCTCGAAGTTGATCTTCGATGCACTCATTGTGTTCTGATCGTTCGTCTTGTTGGTGAGGCGCGACACGTGCGACTGTATGTTCTCCAGCTCGAGTGTATAGGCGGCGCTCTCGATCTTGCCCAGCAGCAGCTGCTCACTGATGCCGACTATCGCCCACCAGAGCAGATCCATGTTGTCCTTGGACAGCTTCCAGGCCAGCTCGAAGATGTACAGCGCCGTCGATCGGCCGTAGTAGCTGAATTGTGTGTAGTCAAACATGATGCGATCCCGCTCCGATTCCCATTGACGTCTGGCTCTCTGCCGCAGAATGCGTTGCTCATGTTTCTGCATGCGGCTGAGCTTGGGAGCGCGTACCCTCTCGGAGCTATCGCCGTCGCCGTTGCCGTCATCAGATTCGCCTGCGCCGCTATCACCATTTTCATCCCCGTCCTCATCCTCGTCGTCGTCGTCGTCGCCATCCTCACCCTCAGAATCGTAAAATATGCTTTCGAATCCTGGTATGTTTTCCTCCAGAGCTGGATCGCCCAGAATGCACACCTGCCGATCGCTGTAAACATTGCAAACGTCCAGCGGTCGATGGGAGTCGCAGATGTAGAAGGTGACATCCTCCGCTGGCTGCAGCAGCTCCACAATGTCTACACATCCGCCGCAATTGATCAGCAGCACGTACTTAACATCGGCTTGGTGCTCCGAGTAGGCGCGCTTCAATCCCGTCACGCCCATGATGGGCACCACAGTGTAGAGCATGTGATCATATTTGAAGAGCGATTGCAGAATTTTGCTGGCGCAGATCGCGTCGACGTCATAATTGACAATAATCAAAATACGCTTGCCTATCAGTTGTCTGTAAAAGTCATTCTTCAAGTCCTGTATGAACATGTTTGCTGCGCGCACAATATACCCTAAAGCGCGGGGCTTTAGTAACAAATCGATCGGTACGGACAAAAAAAAAAAAAAAAATAATAATAATAATAACAAATTGTACAAATAAATAATTAAAAAGGCCGAATCGCGATACGCGTCGGTGCTAAGCGTCGTTTCAATTTATTGCTGTTGCTTTTACGGCACTTAGTTGGCCTTTATTGCGCGTTGCATTTTGCTGAATTAGCTTTTGGTCGCTCTTTCGCACAGAGTTTCGCATTCAGGTCTTTGTGGACTGCATGCCCCACAGCTGCGGGATCGAATTAAGGCGGGAAACTTACAGCTGTTTACTGTGTCGGCGCACCCCTGCGAATGGCAACTTTTTATTGCGGGCTGCCATTTCTGGGAGGCGTTTCTAAGTTGTGTATTTATTGTCTTGCATGCCGTTTAATTGTTATAAAAATCAATCCTACAATAAATTGCACTTCAGAATAATTGATACTCAATATTATATATAATTTATATCAAAAGTTTATTTCGACGATTATTCTCTTATTGATCGATTACTCAATGTATCGAAAGTGAACACGATTAATAGTTCGAATATCCAATATCGTCTCGTGTGTCCTAGGGTTAAATATTAACACTAACCAGATCTCTGGTTAGTGATATTAAGTTCGCTTCTTTTGAATCAGGAAATTAACAGTTCATAAGTTATATGAATTAAAGTACATTCAGCCATGGGAAACAACAAGGGCAATCGGAAATCTCTGTCCCAGCAACACGTTTGCTCCAGAATGAATTTCTTGTACCAGGCCTCCAATTTAATGGCGCATAGCAACAACAACACGCTGGCCGCTTATTATGGCAAGCTTTGCCGCAACGTGGGCACCAAGGCGCTGATTAAGATGTGAGTTCGAGTCGATATTGTGTATATATACATAATAACATTTTCATTCTTGAGATAGATCACCGACACTGAAACGCACGCTATGCAGGCGCTGTTCCTTGCCGCTGCTGCCAGGCATCAACACCACGTTAGAGGTGGAGCAACAGCAGACAAATCCCAAAGAAGTGGAGATGGCGACAAACACTTCCAGTAAACGACGCCATCGCCGGTTGCGTGGCAAGCGCAACGAGTGCCACAACAAAGGTGCGAACGCCATTAGCTCAAAAGAAGCCGCATCCGCTGTCAGCATAGATGAGAAAACCCAGTTGAACATGGAGTGTGGTCTGTGCGGTGCGAATCGTCGGTTTCATGTTGACACACGTAATGAGTGCTGGCCGGAACGTGCTGAGGCTATTGTCCATGTAATACAACTGGGCAATCAAACGGACTCAGATGGCAATAAGGGAGAGAGCGAAGCAATTCAAGAGCAGCGATAAGCGGATGACACGTGCAGCAACACTTGTTGATAAGCGATGAACACTATCACCCATCGGCTGTTCCCGGTTCATTGTTCACTCTTTAGTATTTGTCAACATGCTGAGTTGCAAGCATTTGATTGGTCCGCTGCTAAATCGACAATTTCGGCGGCACGCCAGCGGCATTACGGCCCAGCTGCTAGAGCAGCGATACGTGGAGCTGGCGCAGCCAGATGGACAAAGGCTGAAGTACCCAAGCATTTGGCTGCGAGACAATTGTCAGTGCCCGGAGTGCTTCCATGCAGAGACTAGAGCACGCAAAAGCCACTGGGAACGCGGCCCGCTGCACGTTAAGGCGAAACGCGTGAGCTACGACGAGAAGAGCCAACAGCTGATTGTCAACTGGGAGGACGCGCACAGCTCCAGCTACGACTTGGAGTGGTTACAGGATCGCGACTTTGGCCAGCAGTCGAGGCAACGATATCTGAATGAGGTCTACAAGCCGCCGGTTCAGCTGTGGGGCAAGTCACAGTTTGGCGAGGTCACACGCGAGTTTTCGTATGATGATGTGCTCAAGCAGGATTCAGTTTTGCGCGACTGGCTCGAGGCATTGGCCGTCCAGGGCTTCGCGCTATTACATGGTGCGCCCCACGACACAGAAGTCGCACGCCATCTGGCCGAACGCATAGGCCATATAAAGCGCACCACCTACGGGTAAAACTCTGCATTTCAATTCGATATTGTCTAAACTAATTGCAATTTGTTTGTTGCCTGTGCTAGGGATGTGTTTGAGGTGAAGTCGAAGCCCAATGCCAAGAACTATGCGTATTTGATGACCCCGCTGCCGCTCCACACGGACATGCCCTACTATGAGTACAAGGCGGGCATCAATATTTTGCATACACTGGTTCAATCATCGTCACCGGGTGGAGCCAATATGATGACCGACGGATTCTTCATAGCCGACAAGATGCGTCGCGAGCATCCAGACTATTACGAGGTGTTGCGCACCATTCCTGTGAATTGGTTCGACATTGGACACGATGGCGACGCGGGCAAACCGTTTCATAGCCTGTGGCGTGCGCCCGTCATCTGCTTGGACGTTGATGGCCAGTTTGCGCGGATCAATCAGAACACTACTAAGCGCGACAGTCGCTTTACTGTGCCGTTGGACCAGGCCATGTCGTGGTACGAGGCCTACGATAAGTTTCTTCAACTGGCCCAAGCTGAAGCTGTGGAGTTCAAGACGCGTGCGGGCGATGTGTTTGTGTTTAACAATCTTCGCATGCTGCACGGTCGTACGGCGTACGAAGACTCACCAGACAACAAGCGGCATCTCATAGGAGCCTATGTTGACTGGGATATTATTTACTCCAAGCTACGTACGCTTAAGTTCCCAAACGCAAGGAATTAGACACCACATACTGATTGACTGTTCAGTAAAAGACTACTAGATAAAATAAAGTTTTGTATTTCTCTACATGTATATGACTATGAAAAGTTTCCATTGCTTGGCATTTCAGTATATATTTTTTAGATTTCAAAAAGAAAACCCGCCTTGACATAGCCTAGAAAATTTTTATCGATATCGATATTTCTCGGCCGTAAAAATACTGACCATTCTGTGCCATTGCCAAGAACTGCTCTGGAAACTATCGACAACGCGAATACATCGATATATTTCCATTTAACCCTTGTCTGGCACATGCATATCAACATCAACAAGAAAAACACATTTGGTGGCAAAAATAAAATGAAAATTGCAACAAATAAAAGTGCTTAAGCCAAATCGAAGTGGGAGTGCTTGTGTGTGTATATATCTATAAGAGTGTAGGCACATTGCGAATTCCAAAGAAATGATGCCCTACAATATGCGTGCCTGCGGCAGCAACGCAATGGTACGTGAGTACGCTGGCGGCAGCATCAATGGCATTCTGCGCAAAACGGGTGGCGTTGCAGCAGCATCGGCAACCGCATTGGGCATGGGCCCAAATGGCGTGGCGGCCGATCCCCGCCAGCCCCCGCTGGAGCTGTTGGTTTTTGGCTATGCGTGCAAAATTTTTCGGGACGATGAGAAGGCGCGTGAGATGGACCATGGCAAACAGCTGATACCCTGGATGGGCGATGTAAATCTCAAAATAGACAGGTTAATAATTGTTGCCTGCCGGCGGCACTAAGCTTAAATATACCTAATATAATACCACTATACAACCATACATATTCTACTTGTATGTGTGTATATATATATACATATATGTATGTTACATCTGGATCCCATATGTTTATGTAGCCGAAGAGTGAAACAAAGTGACTGGCATAGTTCACTAGCCGTCTATAACTATCATAATTACTCAACAATATACACACACCTAGTTATGAAGCAACCCACGAATGCAAAGTTCATAGCCGGAAATGAGCGCGGCCCAACCGAAACCCCGACAGAGACGCCGACCGAGACCCGAACCGTAGAGCTCCAACAGAACGAAAAATTTGTGACAGTTTCTCTTCTTGTTTCTTCGGGTAGAGTCGAGAACCCTTTTCGTAGACGACGAACCTTAGCTGACCTCTGAACGTATATAAATAATATATTGTAGTAGGAAGGGAGACCGGACTGACCTAGCCCTAGGCCCTGCAACTGTAAAAGCTTTCTCATTGTAATAACAGCTCTTTTCAGTGCTTCTCAAACTGTAATATAATTTTAAACAAATTCTTGAACTGTAATCGTCAAACAATTAACTTTTTTTTAGCAACCGGAGCGGTATGTATGAATGATTAAGACCTACCTAATAATTGATAAAAATATATATATACATATACATAATTATAGACATTTAATTTAACCAATACCAATTTATTTAACAACTGTGTGAAGCAATTTGATCGAGATGCAAATTTCTTTTCCGTTCCGAAAGATCGATAGATCTTTTGATTTTTTTATTTGATTTCAACTGTGTCTATGCGTGCGTGCGTGTGTGTATGTGTGTGTGCGTCTATGTATGCGTGTGTACGTGTGATTGAGAGTGATAAGCGCCATCTCATCGATATCGATGCTGTCAACTAACAACGTTCTTTTTCCCGTTTATATTTCTCTTATTCTTTTCTTTGGACACCCACCCACACACATTCACACATGCACGCACACACTTACACACACACATCTATATATATATGTGTATATAGATATGACGTGCGTGGAGCGTTGTGCGAACTATCGACATACGAGGCGCCACCTGGGGGCTACGGCAATCGACTTGAATACCTGAGCGCCGACGAGCAGCGAGCGGAGCAGCTGTGCGAAGAGGAGCGCTACCTGTTCCTGTACAACAACGAAGAAGAGCTACGGCTGCAGCAAGGTAAGTACAGCCACCGGCGTTGCGTACGCAAAGCTTACTCTCAATGCGAATTGAATGTACTACTGTTTAAATTCTAAGTGCCAAGAAATACCGATATCTAAACGAAAAAAGATCAAAATCAAATAAATAAAAAAAAAAAAAAAAAAAAAAAACGAAAAAAAAAATCATGCCTTAATTCAAGACCAAAATATTAAAAAGAATACGATCGAGTTAGAAGAATAGAAATCATATGAAAAGCAAGTAGCACCAATATTCAAATATCCATCAACGACAACAGCCGCATCAATGAAACAATGTAATTAATGCGTATATCAACGTAAGTTTCGACCAATGCCCTGTGGGTGGTACCGCCGTGGTTCAGGTAAATAGCAACCACATGACATTTAACAAATTAAACCATTTTTTACAGATTCCGCAACTTGGGATTCTACATCTCTCTCTATCTCTATCTAATAAGTTCCACTGTTTGGAGCCTCCTATACTAAAATGAAACTCTCAAAGAATGCAAAAAATGCGAAAGTCAAGAGAGAGAAAAAAAAAACAAACACAAAAATAAGATTTAAATCAAAATCCAGAAACTTAATCTATGAATTTCATGCGTTTTTGAATCAGAGTATTCCGTTATCTCTGCCCTAGTGGCTCGCGCTGTTTGATATTCGCTGGTATTGTTGTACTAAAGTCGCTACGTTTGTCTTGTGTTTTCTTATTTTTGCCAACACTCATATGCACATATTGCCACACTGACACACACCGACACACACTCACGCAACCGCAACCGCAATTCAACTCGCACTCCATCATCGACATACACTCACCTACAGAGGAGGATCTGAAGCGCCTGCAGCAGGAGACGTCGGGCGGCAACTATAGCCAAGTAGACTTCCATTACGATGGCCAGTCCACGTGCAGCTCATCCGGTGCTGACAATACAACATCGCCAACATCGGAGTCCTCGACACTCACTGAGGAATCCGAGTTGCCCTACACGCTGCCACCCACTCTTCTCGTCGCGCCCGCTCCGGGCATGCAGCTGGTAAGTTGGCAATAGTCGGATATGATGGCATAATATATTCTAACCTGCCTCCCCTCATCTGGCAGCCGGAGACAATGAAACAGCATGCGATTATTGAGAAGACGGCGCGATTCATTGCCACCCAGGGTGCTCAGATGGAGATCCTAATTAAAGCCAAGCAGGCCAACAATGCACAGTTTGACTTCCTGTCGCAGGGCAGTCAGCTGCAGCCATATTATCGCCATCTGCTCGCCGCCATCAAGCAGGGCAAGTTCGCGGCTTCTGTGCAGGCGCCATTGGACAAAGGCAGCGGCACAAGCGACGCCAACGCGGCATCCGAGAGTCCGAAGCCCAGCCAGCAAGTTATTACGGTGCCCACCATCAAATACAAGCCGTCGGCCAATTGCGCCTACACACAACTCATTAGCAAGATCAAGGGGGTGCCGCTTCAGACAGTTCTAGACGATGACGCCGCATCACAGCATTCCGCCGGAACCGCCTCTCCGACGCCCAGCGCGAAGTCAGAGTGCCACAGCCAAAGCAGCACTACCGCCACTGCATCCAATGGCGAGTTTACGCCTGTCCTGCTGCAGTACAATGGGAGCACATTTGCCCACGAAGCGGAGGAGGACAACGCCAACGATGCTCCGCCCAAGGTGGAGCTATTGAAGAACACCAGCGCACTGGCCCTAGCCCAAAACTACAGTTCGGACAGTGACGAAGAGGAGGATGAGAACGATGAGACAGCTGAGCAACAGTCACAACGATCCACACAATCAGACGCAACGAGCAACAGCGGCACCACCACCACTACCACCAGCACCACTACAACCAGCCCCACTGCAAAACCCTCTGCGGTGCTGGCACCACCACCGTTGCTAACTTTTCCAATGCCCGAAGAGACGCTGCGTCATATCATAGACAAGACGGCAACCTATGTCATTAAGAATGGCCGCCAGTTCGAGGAGACGCTGCGCACCAAAAGCGTGGAACGCTTCAATTTCTTGCTTCCAGAGCACAAGTACTATGCGTATTATATGTACAAAATAACTGGCGATGTGGACGCCGCTTCCAAGGAGGAGAAGACTCGCAAGGCGGCTGCTGTGGCCGCTGCCCTGATCAGCAAAAAGGGTCTGGGCGGCGGCACAGCTGCTACCGCTGCCAACGTCAGTGAGAAGGGTGCGTATATTGCTCAATATAGCAGATGTAAAAATGCATAACTCATTTGCACAATTTTTCTCTTGCAGCGCACGTTAGTTTTGCTATACGTGCCCGAGATGAGAACACAGCCTTGCACCCGGCACTGCCGCAGGAAGTCAGCGATGAGGATGAGCAAAAGGCCAAGTCAAATGCCGAGCAAGTGCGGCCGGGCATGCCGGACAGCGTGCAACGTGCCATCAAGCAAGTGGAGACGCAATTGCTAGCTAGAACGGGCGGTCCGAAAGGCGCAACGGCAGGCTCACCAGCAACAACGACGTCTCCACTCAAAGAGCAACGCCAAGGTGTGTATGGGCTATCGAATCAATTAGAAAGAGATGGCGAGAGTGAGAGAGGGACAGAGTGTAATGATTTGTGATTTCATTTTTCCTCCACTACAGCCGAGGAGCGTGTCAAGGATAAGCTGGCGCAGATCGCGCGGGACAAGCTGAATGGCATGGTCTCGCGCGAGAAGCAATTGCAGCTGGAGCGCAAGCGCAAGGCCATGGCATTTCTCAATCAAATTAAATGTAAGTTAGCAATTGAAAAAGCAATACACACATCAATAACTCTGTATTCGTGTTTAGCTGAGAGCACTGCCATTGGCCCAGCAATGGGATCGGAGGCGACGGCTGCATCAAACAGCGAATCGGTTGTGACAGCTGACAGCGTAAATAGTGACTCCAACGACTCGGTGCGTTCCATACCAATCACCTACTTTGGACCTGATGATGATGATGACGACGATGACGAAAATGATGTCGGCGTGCAAAGGAATTCGCGCATGCGCGACGATGATGAGGACAATGGTGGGGATCTGGAGAAATACAATCTGCTAAACGATGATAGCACCAATACGTTCACCAGCAAAGCAGCGCCAACTGCTGCTGCAGTAACAGCGTCCGTTCTGCTGTCCGATGACGA